ATTTACATAAAAGGCAGCTTAAAAGAAACAAATCAGCACCCAAAGACCTGCAGGGTTCATCCAAGTTACATACCTGTTTGTTTGAGATAAATACATTATTACAGGATTTTATTTTGACATGATAGGAAAAGATGCCTTATTGGTATTAAGATAAACCATGTTGCTGCCTGAACCAAAACATACATCAATCATAATCAGGTAAAATATTTACCACAAAACAGGCTCTATCTGAACGAGATCTCAGGCTATTGAAAGTCATAAAGTTTTAAAGTAGAACAAAAAGTTAAATATTGGGAAAGAGGTCAGTCTGATTAGTAATTTGAATTTGTAGACAGAAGAGCAGTCAGATTGTTTATTCACTGAGCTTAAACATCTTATAAGCTGCATACTGTACGCACAGGTAGACCTCTGGCCTTCTGGGTTTGAGACTTATCTACACCCACGGTTCACCTGTCAGGCCAAGATGCTTCCAGAAATCATTTCTCCCTAACAAAAACATTTGTCTCAAGTGTTTTGACAATTTACAGTGAAAACCATGATGAGAGTCTGTGGTTCAATGAACCGGGCTAACAGTGGACAAATAGCAGGAGAGATTTCCAGTGTAGGACTCCTCCATTCATCTGAGCCTTTGTCACATTTATGCAGGAGATCATCAAATGTTTGCAGCAATTCCAAAAACTAACGCTGCGTAAAGCAGGGAGGTTATAACCATTAAAGCCTTGGTTTTAACGGCTCGATCCAGATACAGCTAATAGGTAAGGACCCTTTGTATATCAAAATACACGAATAAGCGCTAAAAGAAGTTTGCTGAGAATAAGGAAGGTATGAAAGGGAGCCTCAATAAGCATCCCCAAAGTCGTACCTCAAGGGCCGCTCTCCTGCAGGTTTTAAAGGTTCCCCTGCGTCCACACAGCTGATTGTTATTGATTGCTGATTAACAGGCTTTTGCTGAACTGCAATCACCAGAATCAGCTGTGCAAAAGCAGAGAAACCTCTTAAACCTGCAGGACAGCGGCCCTCCAGGACAGACTTCTCTATGGTGTCCCAATCCTCTGCCTGACAGAACGTAAAGGCACAACTCGCTGCTCAGAAATAGGAAAAAATGTGATGCATGCCAACATTCACACCTTCACATGTCATGGTTTTATAATGCAGGGCTGCGGCAGTTTGTTATGTTGGTGTAACTTTGCTTTGCAGTAGTTATTTTTTACATCAAGTAATTTCAAGAATTTCAAGTACATGTCTGTTAATGCTATATTTTCCTATTTGGAGATGCATGCATGATGCCATATATATGCAGTGTCTGTGCATTAGCCTTTAAAAATGCTTGAGTTGCTTTTTTTTCCGTCAATATGGCATGAAATATATTTCGGCACATGACTTTTTAAAATGAGAAACACAACAAACATACAAAAGCGACAGCATCATCCACTTAATAAAGAATTACTACATTGACATTTCACAGTGAATTACTTTCTATTTCCTCTACTTTCTATTTTCTAACAAAAGACCCAATGTCAATGGCTAACTCAGTCTATGTCTTCCAGTCAGTCTGAGATAGCCAGACTAATATAACGCTACAGACTATACTATAGGATCCATCGGCTATAGATGTCATGATCTCGCCTGATTCCTCCACCTTAATTGTTTATTTCATTCACCTGCCGTTTCCCTCCCTGCTGTAATTATCATTTATTTGATTCACCTGTTTCCTTTCCATTATATTCCGTTCAGCCCGAGCGATCAGGGACAGATCATTATTTGTTTTCTGTTAGTCTATCTGTTCAGTTTGTTCAGTTCATTCCACAGTTCATGAAAAGAGGGTTTTGTGTCTGTCTCGTCTCCTGATAGTTCACTGTTCCTCCCCTGCGGAGTCCTCAGGGTTTTGGCTCAGAACGCGGGGAGGATCAGCTTTTATTCCTGTAAGCTCCAAGGAGGAGACCAGTTTAAAGTTTCTGGCATCAAGTTCTGGTCCAACATCCTGTCTCGGTTACCCTCAACCACTGAGCCTGTCTGCTTCTGTGCGTGTCCACCTGGTCAAGCTTCTGGAATCCGTGAGACTCTGAACCTGCGTGGAAGCTCTTAGGATTCCTGGAAGCCTGGATCCTGTCTGATCTCTCTGCTACTGTCTGTTAGATTTGCCCCGACTCTGATCGGCTTCCTGCAAGTCCTCCGGGGCAGCAGCACCGGAACACTCTGGGTGATGCAGGCAGGATAAAGGGAATGATGAATGCAGCAGTGAACAGACCTCTGGACCTCAGACCAAAACACAGCCTAGATCTCTCAGGGGTGGATCAGAACCACTCTGGGAGTGTGGCCAGACTTGATTCTGACTAGACATCTGGAGAGGTCTGGAAATGGCTGCAGGCATCTTCCGTGTAATCTGGTGTTCTGTAAAGAAGAATTGTCCAAACTGCTTAAAGAACACTTAGGTAAGCTAATCATATTCAAGAAGCTGGAACTCCTGCCAAAGGTGATCAACAAAGTATTATGCAAAGGATGCAAATACTTTCATTTCTAATACCTTTTCAACAATCTAAAAAATGATAATAATAAAATTTCACATTAGCATATACCTTTATTTTTACATGCAAGTCATTAAGAACAAGTTCTCATTTACAATGGCGGCCTGACAAGGGAATTAAACACTTAGAAAAAGTGAAGTAGGGCTAAAATAAACACAATGCATTTGTAATGCATACATAAAATACAATAAAACACAACAGACAACCCAAGAATGACTGTAGAGAAACAGCTGAAAGTTTCTGTCAACAAGGATGATATAATTGTTGTGAAGGATAAAATTGAAATTAGTGTATATTCTGCAGAGCGTTTTGGTAATGAGCGGCAGCAGATGGAAAAGAAGCAAGTAGCAGCTACCAAAAGTAGTGCTGGTTTTGGGAATAAGTA